ATTTTATACTTTTAATATCACAAAGTTCGCCAAGACTACACTATAAAAAAATATTAACAAAGACAAACAATATTTAATCTATTCTCAATTTGACCACAGACGTCAAGAACAAAAGTTTGACAATAAATAGTATGCATGCGTGTGTGCGTCAAATACTTGGTATGTAGTGTGTGTAATGTTTTCTTTATTGATTTAATGTATCTTTTATGCATTATTTTAAAAAATATTAGCTTTGTGCACTTCTTCTCTATATTCTCTATAAGTGTGGAAAATTTCAGCCTCCTCCGTCAGCGCAATTTTCGTAAAAAGGGATACAAAATTTTTGCTTCACGTATTAATATATAGATGAGTAAAACGCTAAATTTTTTGTTTTGCTTCTATGGGGGACGAGCTCACGGCCCACCACCTGGTGTTAAGTGGTTACCGCAACTCATAGACATTTACAACGTAAATGCCGCCACCCCCCATGAGACACGGGTTCTAAGTCTCATAAACTTCAGCCCCGCCCTTCAAACCGAAACGCATTACTGCTTCATGACAGAAATAGGCAGGGTGGTATAGGAAATAGACTATAGAATACATTAGAGAACTCGTAGGCTACTACTGCTCTTTCCTGTCATCCGTTCCTACTTAGGCAGAGGACATTTAGAAGCCTAACCTAAACCTCTATTAAATTTGCATATAATTAGTAATATGTATGTGGTTTAATAATAAATAAAAATAAAACTCTAGATTAGTTTAGTCCCGAATTAACAATTAATTTGATCTTAAGTTTTTGTTTATACTGTGGATACGGGTCAAGATATTTGAGTGAAGTTATGAAACTATTATATCGTTATCTATCCTTGATATGTGTCTAAAATTTCATTTAAATCGGACGTCATAAGATCGGTGAAGATGATCTTCAAGGAATTCCGTTACGTGGAAACAAACATATGTACATAAACATATCAAGCTTATATGTTTGTTTGTTTCTCTATGCGTTCCAAATTCATTAGTCAGACTATGATGTAACTTGCTAAAGTTGTTGCTGGAACATCAAGGAAGGTTTATATCGGTCAACGTTCTCGTCGAACCCGTCGCTACCGACGAAGGGTTCGGCGAGAAAATCCCATAAACACAGCCCACTGACTTTCTCGCCGGATCTTCTCAGCGGGTCGCGATTCCGATCCATTAGTAGATTCATTCGCGAAGCAGCTACTCTTGAGTGGTTAGGTCTCCCTTGGAGGCGCTCGGGTAGCTGTTAGCAAATCCCGCCCCTTCTGGCTTAGCCCTTGCTCGCCCACCTGTTCTTGTGAAACTAGAAAGGCCTCCGGGTCACCAGTAAACCCTCAATCCCAAAAAAAAAGGCTCGAGAAAGCCGAAATAAATACCACTAGTAGATAATTGTGTTTCTCAAACTATCTGTTATAAAAAAATGTGTGTTTAAGTTCGTATTTGTCTGGTTTTATGTTTTCTTGTAAACAAGTTTTACGAATGCAAACAAACACACGCGTTCTGTGACGCATGGGCCGTCGAGAACAAAGAATAAATAATTACAGATTTTTGTTATTCCTCTGTAAGTAATGTCAATGCGCTTGTGTTGCCATTATTCTTTTATTATACTTGTTTATTGTGTTGATAACTAGAAACGACAGTAATAGAATAAGCTAGGCTATGTGCAGATTATTGAAATTAAATATCCAATATGTATCGATTGCTTTTTTTTTTCCTACCTAAGCTGGTAGCCTGGAGCGACTATTCCAGCGCAACCGTAACTAGTAGGTGAGCTCACGGGGTTCAAACCTGACCACGATGCTAACACGAACCCTAGAAAGAGTCGTGCTTCGCAGAATCTACCACCGGATCCAAAACGCGACCCACTGAGAAGATCCGGCGAGAAACTCAGTGGGCTGTGTCTGAGAGTTAATTTACTCGTCGAGCCCTTCGTCGCAAGCGACGGGTTCGACGAGAACGGTGACCGGTGCTTGAAGTACCTAGAAGCACCATCGATAGCATTATCACTACAATAGTATAAAATAAAGTCGCTTTCTCTGTCCCTATATCTGTCTGTCCCTATATTGTATGCTTAAATCTTTAAAACTACGCAACGGATTTTGATGCGTTTTTTTTGAAGTGAAAACTTCTTTAGAATCGTTGTGATTTCAAACCGGATGCAACGGAAAGAACGACAGGTAAGAGACACAAATACAAAAATGTGTAGGATGAAGCCAGCAAAGAATGAGACAGAAATATACATACTATTTAATACAGCGCCATCTGTGAGATTTTTTAATACTACGTGTATGAAAGGTCTTGTAGTGAATTTTAATTTAGGATTATACGTGAAATTAAAATATCAATTCACAGAGGGCGCTACCTTACAATTATTTACTAATAACAAAATTTTACATATACTTAAGACGTTTAGGATAATTGTATTTTAATTTTGGAAGGTTTCACTTCTACCACGTTTGAATTGCACACATGTAATTTTTTTAATAGATAGAGTGATTGAAGAGGAAGTTTTATATGTATAGTAACATCCATTAAATAGTGGAGAAATCAATAATATTTCAGTTTCCGAAGCGAAGCGAGGGCGGATCGCTGGTAGTAACAGAAATGAATGACGAAATCCTTTTTCTCATTGATGTAAATGAGCGGAATGCGCCACAAATTAAATACGAAATTACATTTCTCGCCTCAATACGTTGAAAACCACTAGAAGTCGTCGTGGCCTAAAGGATAAGACGTTCGGTTCATATAGAATCTAGCGAAGCAACGGAGTTCGAATCCCGCAGGCTGGTACCAATTTTTCTAATGAAATACGCCCTTAACAAATGTTCACTTTTTTTTCCTACCTAAGCTGAGAGCCTTGAGTGGTTATAGCTAACACGAACCCTAGCAAGAGCCGTGCTTCGCAGAATCTACCACCGGATCGGAAACGCCACTGAGAAGATCCGGCGAGAAACTCAGTGGGCTGTGTCTGAGGATTAATTTACTAGCCCTTCGTCGCAAACGACGGGTTCCACGATTGACTTCCACGATGAAGGGATAATAACATCTTGTAATAAAAATCAAACCTGCAAAATTAGTATTTGCGTAATTACTGAGGGTAGGACCTCTTGTGAGTCTGCACGGGTAGGTACCACCACCCTGCCTATTTCTGCCGTGAAGTAGTAATGCGTTTCGGTTTGAAGGGTGGGGCAGCTGTTGTAACCATAGTGAGACCTTAGAACTTATATCTCAAGGTGGGTGGTGCATTTACGTTGTAGATGTCTATGGGCTCCTGTAAAATTTTAAAATAAACCATGTTTCTTTTATATAGCAGTTAAGTATCTAATAATGTCTCAATAATGTCTCAAGAGCAATAATATCTAAAGCCTAAGGCTACAGCTATTTGATCAGATGTTATGATAATTCAAACTTTTTCCAGCTAATTTATTGACAGTACTTAATTGAGAACTACCACCTCATATCTCGATATCAGTGGTGGCATTTATAGTTTCCCATAAACACGATAAGTTTTTATTATTCTTAGTTTATTTCTAACTCATATTAGGTTTAGGTAATAATAAGTCATTTAAATATCTAACAAACTCAGGAGCATTTTTGGATATAACATCTTAGGAACATATCAATAAGGTATAATTAATAAAATTATTTCATCTATAGACCGCTATACAATCAGAAAGCAAGATATATATTGATTCTCATAAAGAATCTTCTATTAATTTTTTAATATATATTTTAGTTGGTATATTGGTATACTTAGTAAATTTAGACGAAGAAACTTAATCTACTGCTGTAATTGATGACATATAATGTAATGTCATCCACAACTCTAATCTCTTGGAACACATCTGATTATGGCTATATATCTTATTGCAGATATATATAGAGAAAAAAAAAACTTGGTATATGACTCATGAGGTGATTATAATCAACCATATAGATAGCTTTTATCTGTAATTTACATATAGTTGCATTATGTTGAGATAGTTAAGATCATAAAGATAATGTTCTGTTTTTGAATGTAAATCTTTTGGGTTTTGTTTTAACAAGGAGTACTTATGTTAAAAAAATATTTCTTTATGACTTATATTGTGGAGTATATGAAGTTAATATACGAAGATTACATAAGAGCTTGCCTTCATAAACTGTGTTTTTACAACTCATCTACTATGATTTAATGTTTTTGTGTGTTAAAAATTGACGATGATGATAACACAGGCTATTTTAAGTTGATGTTATTGAGAATAAAATTCAAGATTTTTTGTATTTATCTTTTATACTTAAAAAAAATTGTTCGATCATTTCTAAATTACTTATTACATATAATCAGATCATTTTTAATAATAGGCTAAATATATTATTGTTATTTATTTACATTTATTACTTCAATGAAGATAAAAATAATTATATTATTAATATTGTTCATCTATTATTTTTTTCAGTGTTATTGATTGTTCTCATACAACAAAACAATCAATGGAGCAGTGTGTGTGAAAACTATGAAGTTTAAAATTAGTTTACTTTTTTTTACGAAACATAAAATTCAGGTCCACACAGTAAGCACCTACGTTAATATACTCAATAATATTTCGTAATCAATTTTAATGCCTTAATTCGGAAATCAATTGCTTAATTAATTGGTACAAGAATTACAATGTGCTGTTTTAAATTTAATTTTAAGTTTAAATTTAATGAAGATTAGGACATAGTGGCAATCAAACAATATTTTTTTTAAATTATTATTGCGTGTTCGAAAGTCAATTGTTTTAGTGCAAAATTTCGATTATTACACAATGCTTTTGATTGAAACTCCATAATGCTCAATAAATTGAGAAATACGGACAAGCATTTCATTTATAACAACAAAATAAAACGTTGTTTTTTACCGCCGTCACTTTTTTCTAATATAATTATTTGGCATTACTTTGTAAAACAAGAAACAACTTGACATTTAAACAGATTCGTGATAGTGTGCGAAATTGTAGTCATTTAAATTAAGAACTTACCGAAGTCTATGAATTGTTTGATGGACAACGGCGAAGGGTTGAACTGCGAGTAGAAATCAAGCATTTTCGTCACATTCGTGAAAATCGCTCCTGCTAACCTCATTTTGAAAGTTTCACGTATAAATATTTAAGTGTTAGAAAAATAATATAACAATTTTAATGTAATAATACACAATCACAATAGACTGTAACACATTTTTCACTTGTCAGAATTTTTGTTATTTATTCCGCCGCAAACTACGCTACAACCGCGTTAAATAGACTTCCCAACGATAAACCACTGTGAACTGATGAATGAATGCAATTTTCTTGGCAATTTGTATTATCTTTGTTCGAATAGTGATGGGATACGAAGCTTAAACTTAATAACGCGTTTCAACGATTGTTATAAAGACAGTTCATCACGAAAGAGCTTTTCAAATTAGATTCATTCATTAAAGTGTACGGTTGAGATTAAAAACTATCCAAGGGTTGTGGGTTCGTTTCACACATGGGGAAACATTCGCGTGATGAACAGGTTTGCTTGCTCTTTGTCTGGGTGTTTATCTTTATATATATAACTAGCTGTACCCGTCCGCTTCTCTGGGCATTTAAAATTAACATTAATATTTCTCACCCCCACAAAGATTCTCATCATTGACGCCCTCGCAACTGGTGTAGGGAGTCCAACACTCATATAAATATCAGCCTATACATTAAGTACATTTATTTTCTACATGGATACCAAGTTTCAAGTCAATCGGATGCATGGTTTAGTAGTTATAACAGAACATCCGTAAAAACCACTGTAGATTTATATATTAGTATAGATTCTACTGTAAGTGTGTATCTCACTGAACTCCTTCTAAGTGGCTGGACCGATTTTGATGAAATTTGGTGTATGTGTTCCAATGGGTTCGAGAATGATTTAGATTCACAATTGAATATTGTTATAACTTTTTGTTTAATTCATCAAACATTGTAAAATGTTCCCAATTTATTCAAAAAAGTTTGAAATTTTCGCATTTTGCTGTGCGTTTGTATAAGACAACGTCTGTTGGGTCCGCTAGTTTTCTATATAAAATATGCTAAACGTATGTAAGTTTGTATGTCATTATTTTGTACCCATAACGCAGGGAATTCAATTCGGGGTCGGATGACCGTGCATGATTTTTCCCATGTGTTTATTATTTATTGATTTAAGACAGCGAAGCGATGTACTCAGTCACAAAATAATTTTGAAAAAAAAAAAACGATTGCAACTCCACTCGTTTTAGACTTCTAGTTATTTGTTAATCGTTTTGGCATGTGTTAGGACCAAGAAAGAAGATATTTAGCGTAAAATCAAGAGTCACGTATTGCGGATACTTCAAGCCTGCTAGTTTTAAAAAAAAGTCTATGTCACTGCTTTTCGTTTAAACGATCTGTTGGAGAATGGAACTCGTCGAATATAAAATTTTAATAATGAAACCTTAAGCAGTCAAATATAATGACCACCATTTTACTGAGATTATATTTCATCCCATATCATCTCATCTCATTGCATTTAATTTCATCCCAGTTGATTAATGTCTCAAATTAATCATCGTCATTTCATTTCATTTCATAAAATTAAGAATATTAAATAAATTAAAATAAGACATGACTTAAACGTCTTAGTTACCAGGTCATAAAATCTCTTAAAAAAAATATTACGCTACGAACAACAATAGATGAAATTGTTGTCAAAGATCAGATCTTTAACAACAAATCGACCAAGATTGACCAAGTGAATAATTGTAATTTATTATAACTCGACACTATACCTACTACCTTTAAAAATATTGGTTTAATAGTAACCTTTTTATAGGTTGTAACAATTCAGAAAATTCAAAGAGAAATCTTGTGAATTGTCAAAAAGTAATAAGGTTTTTCAAGTAGTACAATACTGAGAAAGCTCTTTAATTAAACTACTGTACGTATGCATAAATCATTCAACTACCGAACTACCGTCACTGGAAGAGGCGTGTGTGTCAGACCTATGTTCAACAGTGTATTTAGTGCCATGCCACTAATACATAATAATATGATCTTATCGACAATATGTAGCTATTAATAGCACTATCTGATCTTATTCTGCGAGTGACATAAAAAAGACTAAGGATTCAATGTTCTCTGGGTCACGGTCTATTTATCTCATGGTCTGGATTAACCTACTCAGATCTCTCAGGTGTTAAGACTATCAGAGCTTATTGGCCTAGCTAGTGTTGATCCTGACTGCTGAACCTTAGGGTCTAAATTGATTCACAATTCACACTTCACATTCAACTATTGGTCTCACTGTTGTCTCTTGTGTTGTCTCACAATTGCAAGTATCACATTCATTTATTTTTTTCCCATTTGTATTCATGAATGAATTCTGTAACCCTTGAAAGTATTACATTCATTCACCATTTACGCTTTTGTATATGTAAATATATTATGTAAGCCTTAAATTGAAATCATTTTTGCAGTTTATCCGAAGTGGTGTTAATTATCACATGCCATCAATTAGAACTGTATCCCAATCAACACTATGCTGTTGATCAGCTGTGGATCATGTTTCTTCGACAGACATGGACCATAAATAATGTTAGCTTTCAATTCACTTATTGATAACACATTATTACAAATATGCAGTACGGTGATTTTAGATACGTTAACAATAAAAACTCATTCTTGGTCTCATTCTGTTGTGTTCGTTCATACCGGTTACTCTGGAGTTTCACTTTCCATTTTACCACAATAGTATGCATGTAATGAAATAATGATAACACAATTGATGCTTAGAATATAATAGAAAAGGGAACTGGGGCTGCTGCCATCTTTGTTTTTTATATTTAAAATTCACTTAATATTATGTCCGCTTAGCAGTTAATGTATTCCGTTTGAAGGGGAATAGCCATTATACAATACAATTTAGACTTCATAAATGTCTCCCGAGTAGATGGCAGCTTTTACACTAAAATGTCCATGAGGTCTGATAATAATACCGAGTAGGATCTAAGTTTGTTCATCTCCAGCTCTACATTAAAATAACTATTTCATCAAATTTGAATACTATATATATATACTATATATATATGCTTAGCTAAGCTTTGTTGTTTCCTTTACAATGTATACTCCTATTTTGATAGGGAGAACCATCTTTCTATAATGTATACATAAGGCTTTTTTTATTGCATACATGGGTGGACGAGCTCACAGCCTATCTGGTGTTAAGTGGTTACTGGAGCCCATAGACGTCTACGACGTAAATGCGCCACCCACCTTGAGGTATAAGTTCTAAGGTCTCAAGTATAGTTACAACGGCTGCCCCACCCTTCAAACCGAAACGCATTACTGCTTCGCGGCAGAAATAGGCAGGGTGGTGGTACCTACACGTGCGGGCTCACAATAGGTCCTACCACCAGTAAACGTAGTCAGCTTCTACTCTATGTACTAAATTAATTAATATTTATTGATCAATTAATGTTTTCTGGCAGAAATGGAAGGGAACTAACTGTGAGTCCAAAAATACCTTAAAATTCCATGGTATTTAATAAATTATATTATTTTAGATGGTGCACAAAGTATTCGTATATGGTACTTTAAAAAGAAATGAACCGAATCACGGCACCATGACCAACCCAGAGAACGGGGTAGCGACTTTTATAGCTGAAGGAATGACAAAAGAAAAGTATCCGTTGATCATAGCAACAAAATACAATGTACCATTTCTATTGCATAGTCCCGGAACTGGATATAATGTGAAAGGTATTTATTAGATTACGGTGGTGGTGAGATATTTTTTTATAATTAACATATTTTCAGTGGCAATACTGTTACATGAGTCGTCTATTATCAAAGGTGGCAATCTGTGCATTTGGACAAAAAAATGTTATTGATATGTCAATACAGATTGATTTGAATATAATCGTCTCCTTCAAAGAATACGGTTCAAAACCTGCATTAAATAAAGGTTAATACTTAACCTGTTATTTATCTAAGATGTCGTTCAGAAGAGTTTTGTAACTGCCAATGGAATACAAAGNCTGTGCATTTGGACAAAAAAATGTTATTGATATGTCAATACAGATTGATTTGAATATAATCGTCTCCTTCAAAGAATACGGTTCAAAACCTGCATTAAATAAAGGTTAATACTTAACCTGTTATTTATCTAAGATGTCGTTCAGAAGAGTTTTGTAACTGCCAATGGAATACAAAGTCAATAATTCGTTTTTCTGATTTACAAATAATTGTCCAAAAGTCACATTGCCGGCTTTGATACTAGTCGACTCACATAACCCCCATGTCTACCACTCCAAGTAACATTGATTGGTATTTGCTTATGGGCTTCATCTTCTTTTGAGAGTAGAGGTCATGTCCACCTCGTGGATCAATTGTGTTCATCCACAGATGCATTTTAAGCAATCAGTTGTACCACATAACAAATAGGCGTTTGAATTAACTCTTCTCCTCTGCGTCACGAGTTATATATTAAATGATCTTTGAACGGTCTGAGCTATAAAGTGGCTGACGTAAATTGCTCACCATGCTCACAACAAAATGGTAGAACTGGTGTCTCATGGTAGGGGGAGGCATTTACGTTGTTCATGTCTATGCAGTGTGGTAAACACTTAACATGAGGTGGACTGACATGTAGAGGCGCCTTCACTAATGGTGCAGTGCAGGGTGTGGGCGCATTAGTGTAAGGGGGCGGTATTGTTACCTGTTCAGTTGTGACCGTGCGCTTACTAGGGGGCGCTAGGGTAGTGATTGCACATTATATGGGCAAGGGAAGCCCTTGCATCTAAATTATATTTTTTACTGCATAGTTGGGTGGACGAGCTCACAGCCCATCTGGCGTTAACTGGTTATTGGAGCCCATAGACACCTACAACGTAAATGTCCCACCCACCTTGAGATATGAGTTGTACGGTCTCAGTATAGTTACAACGTCTGCACCACCCTTCAAACCGAAACGCATCACTGCTTCACGGCAAAAATAGGCAGGGTGGTAGTACCTACCCGTGCGGACTCACAAAAGGTCCTACCACCAGTGAAATAATGATAGATAATGATAGTTTCGGTAGGCAGCGGCTTGGCATTGCTGAAGTCCATGGGCGACGGTAACCACTCACCATCAGGTGGGCCGTATGCTCGTATGCCTACAAGGGCTATAAAAAAAAAAAGTTTGATCTTCAGGTGAAATATATGAAGTCGACGATAAAATGTTGTCGAACCTTGATATTTTGGAAGATCACCCTAATTGTTACATCAGAGATAAGAATGACATAGTCCTTACGGATTCGTAAGTACCAAAACATTTTTTTAAATTATTTTTTTTATTGCTTAGATTGCTGCTTTATTTAATCACATTAATTATTTTTTACTGGATTAATCCGTCGGAGCTTACTCTAGCCCAGTGATTCTCAACCACTGTTCCGCGGCACTTTTGTGTGCCGCCAAATTTCAAAAGTGTGCCGCCAAATTTTGCGAATTTAGAATAATGTTAATATTATTAAATTAGATCATTTTACAAGAAAAATATTTTAAACATGAATATATATTAAATCCACAAAAAAAAAATTATAGTATATTTTAGTTTATTTCGTATATTAAAATTTTTTGATAAACTATTTATGCAGTGTGTTGGAGTAAGTAAATAATTTTTATCTTTTTTTTGTGTGCCGCCAAATTTTGAAATCGTTAAATATGTGCCGCAACAAAAAAAAAGGTTGAGAATCACTGCTCTAGCCCATAGACACAGCCCACTGAGTTTCTCGAAGGATCTTTTCAGTGGGTTGCAATTCCGATCTGGAGGTAGATTCTGTGAAGCTCTTGCGAGAGCTAGTGTTAGCAAACTCTCTCGGCTACCGATCTGCGTGTAGTCGGAATATTCCCTTTGGCTACCAAGTATTAGGTAGAGGGAAAATGAGCTTACGCCATTGATAGATATACATCAATGACTTACACGAATAAACTCTTCCACTGGGACACTTGTTCTGTTGAAAATTAATTCTTCTTCTTAATTGCTTGCTTGCTTCCAATAATTGCTTCGAAGTGTAGATGGGCAGGTTGCAATCTTGCTTTAGTCGATGAACACAAATAGTCAACAAGTGCATCAATTGAAAAAAAAATACTTTCATAATACGATACGATACATACTTTGTTTTACTTTGTTTTTTCCTACCTATTCTAGTATCTTATAAAGGTTATACTAGATAAGCTCACAGGGCTCAAACCGACTATTAATACTAACCCTAGCAAGAGCAGTACTTCGCAGAACGTCACGCGAGAAGAGAGATAAATCTGCCACAAGGCAACGCTTGGGCTGATCGTGACTCTATCGCTTGTTCCGCGCTCTCGCTCGCACGCTCAGGCTCAAGCGGAACGTGACACTTTTTCGTGCGTGCAGCCGGTGTTCATTGATTTATAAGACGTTATCACCTCAAAATCAACAACACCTACATTTAGAACGCTTAGAAACTACGCTTGAAGACACAGGATTTTAAATAGACGAATATAAAAATAATCTCATTTGTGATAGTCTAAAACGGAATGTATTTCAATTTTTTGTCATCAGAGTCTAGGGAAGATTTCAATAAATTTAGGCTTTTAGCGCGATGAAGCCATTAAAGTCCTGCGAGACTACTGGCAGTAGATAGGCAAAAACAAAGTTTTTAATTCACAAACATCTAATCTCTAATAATAATAATAATTTAGATTATTTTCTGACCGCCATTGATTTCTATATGATATTCCCGCGTAAATTCATAAAAAGAACTTTTTTGTTTTTTTTTTTAATTTTTTTTTTTCAGTACCCATAGAACTGTAATGAAATGCTGGGTGTATTTCCTAAAAATGTTTAAACCGGAATTACTATCGAAGCCTTTTCTGGAGGACTACAAGTCTGAAGGCGACCACGGGCTGCGCTATTGCGAAAGGTGTAAAAGAGATGTTAATTTTAAATTAAAATTAGCGGTCAGAAACGATTGTGCCTATTTGTGATTAAGTTGACTGCGAATGTCGACAATTCAATGTTTCATGGTAAATTATCATTGTTTTAAAACGGTATTTCTATTTTGAATGCTTTTTTTTTCTGGTAGCTCTAGATGATGGTCAAGAACATTTTAAGACGTGTCATTCAGTAAAGGTACTCTGTCAGTCTTCAACTAAATGTAAGAAGACTAGTGATCTAACAAATTGACGGAATACAAGCGCCGAATCTCTTCCGGCGCGTATTAGAAACTTTTCTGACAGACGGAAGGCAGCAGCTCTACCCCTGGCATTGCTGACGCCCATGAGCAACAGTAACCATTCACCATCAGGTGGGCCATATGCTCTTCTGCCTACAAGGATAGTAAAAAAAAAGTTGAAGTTTATGGGTTTTAGAATTTTTTAAATTTTTTCTAAAGGCTCGACCATAAATGTGCCAAGTTCTTTATATTTTTTATTTCATTTGATATGTGCATAGACATCACAATGTGAATGCCAGTACTCATCTTGAGACCAAGGTTGAAATATCAATTGTATTGCACAGTATGTGTCAAGTATTATTACTTCGAATAAGATTTCAGAATTGCTTCACAGTAGTATTGAGAAAAATGTTAGTGGTGTTTATCTACAGTGGACGTACTACCACTAAAACCTTGTCTTTGTTATAGTAATAAGCTTTGTTTTTCTTTTTTTTTCAGTCAGGACGAATATTGTACTGATGAGGATATGAACGAAATAATTGAAAACGTAAATTGAATTAAATTTACTCTATATATTCTGGCTTAATATACAAAAATAAAATCGAATTAAGACAAACATTCCTATTTATAATTTATTATTGTTTTAATTTGGAGAATAAATTATATTCGTCTTTTTTTTCTTTCTTGATAATTGTCCATAACCTTCATATAGAATAGAAGTGTCAAATATGTTATCTGAAGTTCATTAATGATATGGAGGTTGGAAGTGAGATGTACCATCTCAGTGTATTAAAAAGTATCTAATGAAAGGGAGCCAATTAAGGTGGCGCCACAGTAGCTAGTGAAAGGATTTAAAAAACTGCGCTATAAACTACTAGTACACTTCAGTTCAGCACACCTCACTGCTTAAAGCTGCTATATTCAAATTATTTCCACTTCCTACACTAGCGCTATTTCGGTGAGTTTCCGAACAACAACTTGCTGTTACAGATGGACACTTTTGAATTTGTTCCCTATACAAGATGTGCTCCATACTTCTACCCTCAATAATGCATGAATCATTGATCGCTAACATTGGCCTCTATTAGGATATGTCAATGTCATATAAATTTTGCTCTATACTGATTCAATCTTAATGAGACATTTTTGTGAAGTTTCTGTATTTTACATACAAAAATAACACAAATACATATTACTCTAATATTTATAGTTATAATATTCGTCCATAATACTTAAAAACAAGCTGTCAATGGTCGATATTTAAGCTTTTGTTCTTACACGTTGCATTTAACGGTTAATTAAAAAAAAACTATAAAAAGTAAAAACGTGCTCTGCATTGTTGCTGATTTTAGAACTTGTTGTTACTTGAAGTTATTTCGTTAGCTTTCTTGGTTCAAAATTGTTAATATTTCGTTAACCTCTAAAAATATAAATATTTTTCTAACAATACATACTTTAGGGAATGCTGTTCGCAACTCCATGTGTATGGCTTGTTATGTCAAGTGTCAATTGTTTATAACTGTCAATTGTCAGTCACTCAAAACGTAGGTAAAGCATGTGATTTGAATATTTTAAGGTTGCAAATATGTTATTAAAAGAAATAAATTAAACAGAATATTGTAATTAACATTAAATAGGTTAACATCAACATGGATTTTGCTAGAAAGCAGCTGGAGAAATACGGTTGGACCGATGGTAATTAATTCAAATCAAGAATCAATATAATGTATAAATGTAGAGAAATATGAGTGCCTATCTTTGCGTATTGTGCGATGGCAAGGACATGGTGTATGGCCGCCGTCTGTGAGACGTCCAGACCGCACCCAGAACGTTCGGAACGTCTACCTCAAGATTATCACCGCTAAATATGTTCCTTTAAAAATTAAGAAGTTTTTTTTTTATTGTTTACAAATTTTTTTTCAGGTAAAGGCTTAGGTAAACATGAAAACGGCATTTCGGAGGCGTTGAAACCAAAATTGAAGCGAAGTGTGACCGGAATCGGTCATGACCCTGCTGCAGAATTCAACGAACATTGGTGGAGTGTACTCTACAATAAAGCAGCCGATAATGTCCAGGTAACGTTATTTTGCATAGAAACATTACAAGCTACGACTATCACTCTGTTGTGGGTACAGAAAAGACTCATAGATGAAGACATCATCATTACTGCTTAGAATTTAACACCAAATAAACAGAAACAAGAGTGTTCACTTAGACTGGAATCAAACCTAGCTTCAGTAGTTGGGGAGCTACTATTTCAACAGCATTAGACCAGAAAGTACTATTCGACTTAAGGTAACTCTTAAATGTATTTTTTTGCCTACCTTTTTAAGTGGTAAAATCTTTGGGCTTACTGATTACCAAATAGTTTTTTTTTCTTTTTTTTTTGCTTAGATGGTTGGACGAGCTCATAGCCCACCTGGTGTTAAGTAGTTACTAGAGCCCATAGATGTCTACAATGTAAATGCACCATCCACCTTCAGATATAAGTTTTAAGGTCTCAAGTACAGCAATAATAAACAAAAAATTACTTTATTAACTAAGTTACGATATAGGAATGTTCAATACAGTCTCAACCGGTAAATAAAATTAATAATTAGAATATAAATAATTTCCAGGTCCAGGATAAAAATGGTAAAACGAAAAAAATCAAAATCAAAGATGACTTCAACATATCAACGAACACTTGGCAAATTGACAAGAAACCTAAAAACGGCAAAGGGAAACAGTATTCTGAAAATTTTATACGCACTGAAGTACTGACCAAAGGTGGAGGGAAGACGGAGAATGTAAAAGAATGTGATAGTCACGAGGAGAACAATGGAGGTTTAGTTAAAATGACCGATGAAGAGTTGTTTGCTGCTTGCGAAGGTCGGACGGCTCACAAGTAAGTTGTTTTTTTTTCTTTTCTTATTGCTTATATGGCTGGATGAGCTTACAGCCCACCTGGTGTTAAGTGGTTATTGGAGCCCAAAGACATCTACAACGTAAATGCGCCATCCACCTTGAGATATAAGTTCTAAGGTCTCAAGTATAGTTACAACAGCTGCCCCACCCTTCAAGCCGAAACGCATTACTGCTTCACAGTAGAAATAGGCAGGGTCGTGGTACCTACCCGTGCGGGCTCACAAGAGGTCTATTTTTATTTCTTTTATTAATATAAGCATATTAAGCAGTTTGCACACTTTCAGTATATGTCTAAGGAAAATTTTAGGTGGTTTTGAAATGTAGCATAATAACATAATATGCTATAACCCAAAAAATATAATGAGCCCTTCCTCAAACAAGGTATTAAAAAATTATGCAGACATCGGCAATGTCCATTTTTGTGGAGAAGCAGTAATGTGTTTCAGTCTGAAGGGTGGGGCAGCTGTTATAGTGTAAAAACTTAGACTTAGCACATATTTCTTGAGAGGGGGGGTGGCATTTACATTGTTAATGTTTATGGTCTCCGGTGATCACCATGATCATCCATCCATCATACCAAAAAAACTGTTTTAATGCATAAGTAGGTAGTAGGTCATAATAAGTGTTTTAAGTATTGTCTGCACTAAAAGCCTGGTAAAAAAAATACCTTTTTCCACGCAAAGTATCTAAAGCTGATTTAAAGGATTAATTTTTACAGAGGTGCGCGCCACGGACTCAGTGCATTAGGTAAATTGGCGAGAATAGCTCAGCAAGAAGAAATGCTACTAATGCTACCGAAATATAATGGTTATTCTCATGCAAAGAATAAAGGCGACGAGCAAATTATCGAAGACCTAAGCTTACAATCCGAAGAAGCTGAGAAACGTAAGAAAAAAAAGAAAAAACGGAAACGCTGTACTAGCAATGAGGGTATGACAGTTGAAAACAGTGTAGTGACAGCATCAGAGGTCATCGAATCCAGAGAAATAGAGAATGTTACTACTAGTGTAGAAAATATAGAGGATGTAGAAAGTGTAGAAAAATTCAGTAGCAAGAAGAAGAAAAACAAAAAACAAAAGTTTGATGAAAATAGTAATCATGCAACAGAAATTATCGAAAAAACAAAGAAGGGGACAAAACGGAAAAATAATGAATGTATCAATATGGAGTCAATGGTAGTAGACAATGAGCGAAATGAATTTACTGTGAAAAGTAAAAAGAAGAAAAAGATACAGAGTATTTAAACTGTATATTTTGCAAACAGTACATTTAGTATTAAGAATAAAGATTTTTACAAACCGTTTTAATGTCATTGGAATTGTGCTCATAACTAGTTAATATTCCATCTAATAGTATGCAGTTTAATTGTGCTTTATCCGGTGGTAGATTCTACGAAGCACTGCTCTTGCTAGGGCCAGTGTTAGCAGCTCTCCGGCTTAAGCCCCGTGAGCTCACCTACATGTTAGAGCGAAGCTGAAATAGCCTCTCAAAGCTATCAGCACAGGTAGCAAAAAAAAAAGAAGTCAGTGTTTTAAAATAGCCCCTCCCCTCTAGAGCCCAGCCCCATTAAACAGAACCGTCTAACATGTGGCTCGTGGGTTTTTCTAAGAAGTCCACTGAAGTCTGTAAATAGCTCCATCTTACCGAGACTATATTTCATCTTATATCTTTATTCATTTAATTTCATCCCAATTGATTAATGTCTCAACTTAATCAACTTCATTTAATTTCGTTACGTACCTAATTATTTATAAAACAGAAAAAACAAAAGATAGGGCCGCATGGTACGACACCTTCGCCTTTCCCGTTGGAAAAATGGAACTATTATTACAAATATTTTGACATTCAGTGTACGTCATAAATAGGCTGTCGTAATATCCACAAAAATGTCTCTGGGAAAGTTTTTAGCCCTCGACAAGCTAAGCAATTTTTTTAACGTAATTCGTCAGAACGGTGGTATAAGAGCCTCTCTGTATAAACTATACAGGTAAGTCAATATTATGTAATTTTTTAAGGTTATGTTATGATACTTAAGTTCTAATAAAACTTTAATATTTTTGCTATTCTGATCTACCTTAATACACAATTTGTTTTGTGGGCAGATTCAGAACATAAAATCACGTGCATGTGCATAATCATACCAGTATATGTATTAATTGGCAGTTTAATAGTTTGTGAAGTCACAATTATATTTTTTGTTGAGTTACTACATTAAATCAGCTGTGTGACATCAAATGATGATTATCAGAAATACTAGCCTTTCTGGCGGGAAACAGTCACGCATTTCAGCTTGAAGGGAATCTTAGTCAAGTATTCTGTCCACTTTGTTATTGGACATCTCACAGACCATCAAATACGTTCTCTTCTAGAATTTTTCTCAGAGGTCACCAATCCTGCGTAATACGGTAACATGTGCATATTTTATTTGAAAATGTCTTAAATTTCAGGCAGGACGATGTAAAGGACGGTGTTCTAGTTGGAGAAGACAAATATGGTAACAAATACTATGAGAACCCACGTTTCTTTTACAGCAGGAACAGATGGGTCGAGTACTCGGACAAGTATTACTTGAACTATGATGGAAGTCAGGTGAGTTAAAGTGTATTATGATCCACATAAGCATTTTTGTTATGAGGTTGACATGAAAAGTATCCATGTCTGATTTAGCATAATTTTTATGACAAGTTTGCAGTCATTATCATTATTTTATTTTTATTTTATTTATTACGGAAACTAACATATTATATTACAAAAAACAAACATATTATATTTAGAAAAGAGCTAAACAACAACCAAACTAGTTTCCTCTGTCAAAATCGCATATTAGTAGAAAGCATAAAAAATGGCAAAAAAAAGAAATAAAACATTTTTGTTCACCAAAAAAAAGAAGCAGCACAATACGCACACATATACATCCACCTCTATTTTATGTGTTTACATTTTATATATACATATGCATATTTTAAAACTTAATAATATACTAAATTCCTAAATTCACCCTATTTCTTATATTTACATTTGTATACCATCATTAATTAGTGTATGATAGTTCCAGCCAGTTACATATAAAGTTTAATAGAATACTAGAGAAAAGTTGGTGTGCAATAGATGCATAGATATCCTTAGCGCCCATTGTGTGCAGAATCATAAGTCATATTAGAAATTGTATATTTTGTTAGTAATAGTAATTGTATTAGTAACTAGCTGACCTGGCAAACTTCGTAGTGCCTCGATCCATAAATAAAAGACCTAAACTTTTCTATAAAATAGACTTAAAACAAACAAAAGGAATCCGTCCGACGGGGGACACATCAAAAGAAAAACAAAATTGTTATTTTTATTTAATTCCGAGCATTTTCATATTTATCTACCTTTTAAACCTTTTCTGGACTTCCTCAAATAATTCAAGACCAAAATTAGCCAAATCAGTCCAACCGTTCTCGAGTTTTAGCGAGACTAACGAACAGCAATTCATTTTTATATATACTTAGTCTGGCCATAAATACTGTTACAATTAAAAATAAACACACTAAAAAAAAACAATTCATTTTTATATATAGATAGATAGATAGATAATAATGGTAATTGTTTTATTTTTAGGTTCCCGCTGAATGGTTTGGTTGGCTACACTACAAAACCGATTTGCCTCCGCATCAGGTATGTTTTAGTATGACAGTGTGAAGTGAGAGTAAATTGAGAAGTCAGTTCATTAGTTAAATAAATCAGACAATCAATAACTGCATCTAAACAGACATGTCGTCTTTCCGCATTAAAAGCGTACAATTTCCAAAAATATTTTTATTTTATTTTTATTGCCTTTGTAGGCAGACGAGCATACGGCCCACCTGATGGTAAGTGGTCACCGTCGCTCATGGACGTCAGCAATGCCAGTGGCAGAGCCAAGCCGCTGCCTACCATAAAGTACTCTCTGCAAGCCTCGTTTGCAGAAGGACATGTCATAGCGCTCGGAAAACACCGTGGAGGGGAGTTCATTCAAAACTGAGTTAATATGCGGAATTATTTGGTATCACCAGTATTTTTCTCATAAATACTGTCAAAAGAGGGTAATTTAGTTTTAGGTTTTTTTTAGTTTACCTATATTTTGACTACTATTAACAAAATTAATACATAATTTTATCTTACTTTAAAAGACAGTTAATGTAAGTGGTAAAAACTAAAAGATAAATATTGCAAAGATGATTAATATTAAAAATATCATATTATTATGTTAAACCTTTAAAACACACTCCTGTAAAATAATTAAGTTTTGAGATTATACAGTTTTAATGCAAGAAGATTAACATTTGAAGCTTAAGATTGTTTAAAAGTGAATCTTGGACCTCACGTCTCAAGATAGTATATAGCTCAAGATAGCATTCATGTGATTCAGGTAACCGAGTAACCAGTAAGGTGATCACGATAGAAATAAAGTACTTTAACAAAGCCCAAAACCACAATGTACCCAGACTAGACGTTCTTGAATATTCAAAGCTTCATATGGGTCATATATACTCCACTCTTTCTTAGGATTTTATTGCTTAATATTGGAATAGCTGTTGGTGAAAACTGACTTTGAGGCATGACTTCGAAGCCTCAGTTTTATAGTAACATGATTGCCTCACTCTTCAAATCTGGTAGGTAAGTAAGTGACCTGTGAAGGCTCACAAGCGAGTAGGTACCACCGCCCTGCCTATTTCTGCCATGAAGCAGTAATGCGTTTCGGTTTGAAGGGTGGGGTAACCGTTGTAACTATACTGAGATATTAGAACTCATATCTCAAGGTGGGTGGCGCATTTACATTGTAGATGTCTATGGGCTCAAGTAACTAGTTAACACCAGGTGGGCTGTGAGCTCGTACACCCATCTAAGCAATTTTTTTTTTAATAACAGTTCTATCATCCAAACTTGAATGATTTAGGCAGAAGTTGGACGGACTGTTGTCATTTCTTTTTGCGGTCTCATAAAATACCAGCACCAGAGATAAAAATTAAAGAGTAATACAAGAAGCCTTTGCGTGGTTAACATCGCCTTAGTTGGCATTGCTGACGTAGATTAGCTCTACACGCTGCTCTAATTAATTCAATATTCTTAAATGATTATCTCCAGGATCCGAGTCGTCCCCACTACAAGTGGATGGCGGACCACACCGAAAATCTTTCTGGTACGACCGCCCAATATGTGCCGTACAGTACGACCCGACCCAAAGTGGAAGCCTGGGAGCCGAAACGCAAAGACAGTGTTTAAAAATAAATTCGCGCTAAAATTTATCTTGTAGAACACCTTTTTTTTGTAAATGTCAGCTGTCAAATACTGATATGTCAGTCAGTTTTTTTTTTTAAATGTTGCTATAATATTTATAAATGAAACTAAAGTAATTTGTACATGTTAGTTTTTAAGTAGAAAGTTGAATAAATATATGGAATTCGTTAAAAATGTTTACTTTATCATTGAACGCTTGGTTGGGACAAAGTTTAGCGACACTGATACATGGAATCAAGTTTAGTCCCGGCCAGGCTATTGTTGTTGTACCTTTTTTTTTTTTCGGGTAGGGGGCCGAACCTCCTACGAGGTACCCGCGCAAAAGGGGCGCGCGGGGTATGTGAGACTCAACGATCTGCATGGTGTTGTGAGCAGACCGCGGGCCCAAGGATTTTAGGGCCCACCCACTAAACGACTCCCCTGCACTCTTACACCCGACGTCCGATCCCCTCCGAGGTCAGAACCCGGATGAGGTAGGGGGGTTACCGCGGTCAACACTACAACGAGACGGCGCGGCTCACCCCAAGGACGCCCGGCCGTCTCGGTACGGTAGACCGTCAGGCCGCCCAGACGGTGCCGCTGGTGTCCCGGAATACCCCGCTGGACCAGAACCAGCCTGCCGGGTCGATTGTTGTTGAACCTGTCTCGTATGCTTTTTTTATTTATTTTTATTGTTCCTGTAGGCATACGAGCATACGGCCCACCTGATAGTGAGTGGTTACCGTCGCTCATGAACTTCAGCAATACCAGGGGCAGAGCCAAGCCGCTGCCTACTGTTTAATACCCTCCACAAGCCTCGTTTGAAGAAGGACATGTCATGGCGCTTTGTAAAACACCGTGGAGGGGAGTTCATCCCAAAGCCGAATGGTACACGGCAAAAAAGATCTCTGGAAACGCACTGTGGATGAATGCAGTGGCTCCAGGTAGTATGGATGAACTCTACTCCGGTGGCGGGCGGTGCGATGATAAAAATTTATTTATTTTATTAAGTTTATTATTAAGTTTTATTGCCAATGTTAGTAACATAATCAACAAAAATGCACATATCATTCACCTGTCCTCGAGAGTACTACACCATCATAAATATTTCTATATAGCTCTGTACTCATCCCGAGCTTGTCTCGTATACAAATAGATAAATCCGATCTTCACCTAAACGGATTCTAACGATTGACGAAAAAAAAAGTGACTACGAAAATTACATTAAAAATAATTATATAATTTAATAAACAATGTTTGGATCCATCTAGGACAAATGCCTTCAGCTCTTATCATTCTCTGTTTTTTGCCACATTGGTCCAGTCGGTAGCTATTGAGTTTTTTTTCTCCTACCTAACCTTATAGCCTTGAGAGGCTATGTCAGCGTCGCCTTAACTAGTAGGTGAGCTCACGGGGCTCAAACCTGATGACGTTGCTAACACGAACCCTAGCAAGAGTCGTGCTTCGCAGAATCTACCACCGGATCGGAAACGCGACCCTCTGAGAAGATCCGGTTTGAGCCCCGTGAGCTCATCTACACACGTTAGGGTGAAGCTGAAATAGCCTCTCAAGCCTATCAGCATATGTAGGAAAAAAAAGCTACGGTTAGTGTTAGCAAACTCAGATTGAGCCCCCTGAGCTCACCTACCAGTCGGTGAAACTAGAATAGCCTCTTGAGATTACCAGCGGCTTAGTAGGAAAAAATCGCAAACATAACTTGAAAATGTCATTTTGGGCGATCAAGACATCTTTTTTTTATTGATTAGATGGGTGGATGAGCTCACAGCCCACCAGGTATTAAGTGGTTACTGAAGCCCATAAACATCTACAACGTAAATGCGCCTCCCATATTGGATATAAGTTCTAAGGTCTCAAGTATAATTACAAGGCTGCCCCACCTTAAAAACTCCTTCACGGCAGAAATAGGTGGGGTGGTGCTACATACCCGTGCAGACTCACAAGAGGTCCTACCACCAGTAAACCGCATCTATCACAAATATCTTGTGTCCCATGAAAATCTGTCCCACATATATAATCCACATTTTAGTATGCAATTTAAAAAACCGTATAAGTGCAAGGTTGTTTCTTATGTAATGCATATTGCATGCAAATTACTAACATACAGACCATTCACTTTTCCCAATTCACGTGTGGAACTTTTAAAATTTTATTACAGAACTTTCTAGTTTTATTCTTTAAAAGGGTCCAACATATTGTATTGGGCTTTTGGGTTTATGTTCTATTATTTCGAACAAAATGATATTTATATACGTTAATAAACATCATTAAACAGCTCTAATAAATAATAGTTTAAAAAAACTAACAAAATACGCTTTTATAGAAAATCCAACTAAAAAATAGAAAATTTAATTTTAATAATTTTGAATTAAAAATAGTGTAAGAAAAAAATGATTTTATTGTAAAAAAAGTGTGGGGTGCATGGTATCGGCAATTATAAATATTTTATGAACAGTTATGAGTAGAAGGGTTATTTTGATAATATCCTGAAAAGCACCTAAAGCTTTTTTACAATAAAATCATTTTTTCTTACACTATTTTTAATTCAAATTTATTAAAATTTATATTCTATTATATATTTATTATTTATTTTTCATTTTTAAATTGAATTTCAATTTTTTTAGTTTCTTTTATTTCAATTTTTATTATTATTTTTAATTGTCATCGGTCCTTAATAAGTATACCAAATTTCGACTTAATCAGACGTTTCGAAGTGGGTCAAAATCATGTTCAAAGATTCCGTTACAAACATACATACGTCTGAAGCTAATAAAAGCGTATTAATAACAATTAAATAAATCAATATTATTACATTCTATAACCTATAACAAATCCATTGACATCTGCTTGTCCTATGATGTGTATACTGTGGAAAGTCAACTAGATCGAGCTCTCGGCGAATTCTCCGTGCTGTGTAAGTGAATTCGGCACGCCGCGCCGGCTTGTTGTTACATAGGTACGAAACCTGTTTTGCTTTACGGGTCTCGGCCAGTGGCTCTCAAATGTTAAAGTAAAAAAAAGTGGCAAAGAGAAAACGGAACATGTGTATGGTCCATGTAACAGACAGTGGCCGGTTATTGCGACTTTTTTTCCCAACCTATTCACCGATAGCCTATTTAAGATAGGTAGCGGTTACTCCTGCTACGTCCTGTTATAAGCGTGTACTGAACCCTAAGTGGATGACACAGCCCTCGGTCATACATTTCGGTATAGTTTCATGAGTTAAGTCACAAATAGCCCGCGTTTCAGGCAGTCTATTCTCAGCTCTCACGTCGATCGGTTGCTTAAGGGTCCCCTCCTCTTTGTAATATAATTATATATCAATAAACTNATAGGTAGCAGTTACTCCTGCTACGTCCTGTTATAAGCGTGTACTGAACCCTAAGTGGATGACACAGCCCTCGGTCATACATTTCGGTATAGTTTCATGAGTTAAGTCACAAATAGCCCGCGTTTCAGGCAGTCTATTCTCAGCTCTCACGTCGATCGGTTGCTTAAGGGTCCCCTCCTCTTTGTAATATAATTATATATCAATAAACTTTATTCTAATCCAATACAATTTCTTTTTTAACACGATTTCGGAGAAGGACCCCACAACAGTCCGGAAGGGTCACCTACCCGTTCATGGGCTCAACATGAGAGACTGCTAACACTAGCCCTAGCAAGAGCTGTGTTAATATTCGGAGTTTGCAAGCTTATCTTGAAAATGTCGTAAGCGAGATTCAGGCATCTGTCAAATATCTTGTGTACTACGATAGCTACCGTCACAGATCTTTCGAAATTATATTCTCGTTAAAAATACCTTACTACTTAGTACATTTAAAAACAATCTAAGCTATTTCGGGGGTCCTGAAAGGTGGTTCAATAAGAATACTCTTTTGATATTCCGTGTCCAAGCGATAAATGAAATGTGTGTGTTCGTATTATCAGAAATCTAAAGCTATTACCGCGATACCGATGAAATTTGAATGTTGTCTGTAAATTATGACAGTTAATTAATGTCAACCTCCCCATTTATGCTCACCCACCCGCCACCAGCGAATAGGTAGGGGGAAAAAATTGGGCCGTTAGTCTACCGAGTAATTTACCTGCTCGGTGGAAGATCATCCCTATGTCGTTACCTCCCAAAGATCCATGTAGCTTTACGCAACCAGTCTGACTTAGATAATTATCTTAACAAGGTAAAAAAAATAATTTTTTAAAGTGTAATTCCAATTTTACAACCACGCATCAACAGGATCAACAGTATATAATCTTGCTTCAGTCGCAGATGTAGCTAAAGTAACTCTTACGGTAATAATCTTGTTTGGTATATCTACTTACTACTAGTGTGTGATGTTTCAAATTTCGGAAGACCACGGAAGAAGATACTGTTCAAAGTTATATCATTAAGGTTTTATCATCATTATATTTGTCCTGTGATTGTTTCCAAAATATTAAAGTGTTGTCGAAACTTTCAGATCCTTTGTCCCTTACCAACTGCTCACAATCTATCTACAGCCAAAACGTATTCGAAGCATTGGACCAACAAAATTCAAAAACAACCTTACGCCTTAGACGTTAAAATAAAAAATTCAAAATTCGTTTCTGTGACTAAGATCACTCCTATTTAATCGATATAATTAAAGTAAAAATGATTTTAAATCTATACACATAAGAAACAATATTGTTTGCTTTGTAATGTTCCAAGTTGGCTCAAGTTTTTTTGCTGACCACAGGTAAAAATAACTTCGTAAGATTTTAACTTCAGTTCAGTTCGAGGACGCGTCCGCGCATAGACGCGTCCATTCACGCTTGTTTTAACAAAAGTTTGCATCAAAAACTTTTATTTGCTGAATGAAATAATACAAATAGTGATGACATTTTAGTGTTCAAGTGATTTAAAGTTGTGTTTCTTGTAAACAAAAAAACGTGCCATGATATATGTCGCGTGCAAAACGATCCCGTATCAAAAACTGGATTTTGTCATGATTTGGTGAGTTCACTATTACAGTGTCTACGCGTAATGATAAAATTTATGTTTGTAAAGAACAAAGAATGGTTTTGATAAAACTTGTTTCGGAAAACGCTAGACGTATGTTCGTTAATTTTTGTAAAAGTAAGCCGTTAGTTAGCTCTCGGGCTACGACAAGGATGTGTTGAATGTTGATCTCGTGATCTCTGGCTGTTGTATTGAGGCGAGATGTGAGAGAAAAAATGTGCGCGTCGTACCTATGTCGTACTTTCAATTGAAATATTTCGGTACCTATAGATAAATTTTAACGGCATTCCCATTTTGCAATTTGGCAATTGTTTACGGTAATATCAAAGAAAGAAAAAGTGGAGAAACTTTTCATGACTTCAATTGCGTATTACGGCAATATCTTTAAATTCGAAACTAATTTAGAATGTTAAAAAAGCCCTTATCTCACAATTAACGGTGTAACACACAAGCTAATTTTATAGGCTAGAAAATTTTAATAATCTTCTTCTCGATGTTAAGAGCAGTCGGATTACAATCTTAAGTGACGACAATGCAACTGGTCCTCTAGAATCATTAGATATGACTTCTCAAGGCATACATAGACCAGTCACTTAAGTGTGAAAGAGCAATTGTCTGAATTAGGGCACAAACAATTCATTTAAGATCCTTGTTAAGAACAATTCAAGATTCGTTACATTCAAATGTGATATTTGTTGCATTTGAAACACGAGATATTTTGTTTAATAGACATCATTTCATTCATGATCATAATGGTGGTTTTACTGGTGGTAGGACCTCTTGTGACTCCGCGCGGGTAGGTACCGCCACCCTGCCTATTTCTGCCGTGAAGCAGTAATGCGTTTCAGTTTGAAGGGCGGGGCAGCCGTTGTGACTATACTGAGACCTTAGAACTTGTGTCTCAAGGTGGGTGGCGCATTTACGTTGTAGATGTCTATGGGCTCCAGTAACCACTTAACACCAGGTGGGCTGTGAGCTCGTCCACCCATGTAGGCAATAAAAAAATAATGAAATAGGTACTATGATCTTTTACCAACGAAAACGTACAAACAAATTGGGTCCTCCAATCTATGCATAACATTCAGACTTTTTTTTTTAACTCTAGTAACACCGATCAGCTTACGGCCTTAAAGTTTTAATTGGCCATCGCAGTCCATGGACACCATAAATTTAGAAACTAACTCGAGTTTCAAAGGCGAAGCTTCAATTATTCCCTCCGACGTTTCTCCGGCTACTAAACTACCTACATATTTTTCTTTATTATTTGCTTATAGAAAACTCACACTTTGATGTCTATACTAATATTATAAAGAGGAAAGATTTGTTTGTTTGTTTGTTTCGAATAGGCTCCGAAACTACTGGACCGATTTGAAAAATTCTTTTTCCATTAGAAGCCGACATTGTCCCTGATGAACATAGGCTACTTTTTAAAAAAAAAAAATCTTTTATTTTTTTGGTTTCATGTGTGTTTTAATGTTTCCGAAGCGAAGCGAGGGCGGGTCGCTAGTATTATATATATGAGGTTATTCAAGCGTCAAGTTTAGTGGAATATAGCGCGCTTATTACGTTGATCTACGATGAAGTATAAACTATATTCATTTTAAAGTTTAACGACAATTTTTCGCGGGACACTCAAGAATGACTGACTCGGTGGTAGTTACCTGGTGTTAAGTGGTTACTGGAGCCCATAGACATCTACAACGTAAATGCGCCACCCACCTTGGTCTCAGTGTAGTTACAACGGTTGCCCCCACCCTTCAAACCGAAACGCATTACTGCTTCACGGCAGAAATAGGCAGGGTGGTGGTACCTACCCGTGCGGACTCACAAGACGTCCTACCACCAGTATTTTCGGAATACATTAGTTAAAATAACACATTTTTTGTCCGTTCAAACGTAAAAGAGTTATCTGTGTGCCCAGTGCGAGTTTATTAAGCTCTATCAAGGTAGCAGCGTCAAATCAGCAAAATTCAATATGAAATTATGCAAAATTTGTAGCTTTTTTGTTGCTATTTAGTTGCTAAAACCGCGATTTTGTTGCTTGAGCCGTTCGCGAAAAATCGCAATTACTGCTAACTTCATATAAAGCTAGCATAAAATTTCGATAAATCAATAAATATCGAATCAACTATTGAACCAAAATTTGTTGCTCATTTGTTGCTGCAAGTAAGCACAAAACCGCGATTTTGTTAATCGCGGTTTTAGCAACTAAATAGCAACAAAAAAGCTACAAATTTTGCATAATTTCATATTGAATTTTGCTGATTTGACGCTGCTACCTTGATAGAACCAGTTAATTAAGGTTCTCGATAGCGTAAAAGCTTACTCAAATTTTTATGGAGGTGGAACGTTTACCGATGTTTGCCGCTAGGGGCGCTGTTCCAACTGCAGTTAACTTTTTCGTTATCGATAACATTGAAAATTCTCACTAAGCACATTGGTGTCCTAATCGCTACTAATGACACAGCCAAGACGCTGTCTAAGTCATTTAAGTCATGACGGCCATAAATGGATGGCGATAATCACATTGTGATATCTGTGAGCAGCAGCTACCACACAACATCAGGTGTGATGTGAGCTAGACCATGTACCAACTGCAAAACAAACCTAATCAAGTTTGTTTTGTCTTTATATATCCTAGTTTATCTTTATCTTTTTTTTTCTTTATTGCCCGTGTAGGCAGACGAGCATACGGCCCACCTGATGGTGAGTGGTTACCGGGTGGACTTCAGCATTGCCAGGGGCAGAGCCAAGCCGCTGCCTACCGTTAAGTACTCTCTACAAGCCTCGTTTGAAGAAGGATATGTTATAGCGCTCGAGACAGTGGAGCTCATTCCAAAGCCGGATGGTACGGGACAAAAAAGATCTCTGGAAGCGCACTGTGGATGAACGCAGTGGCTCCAGGTAGTATGGATGAACTAGATCTAGTAGATAACTTCGATTAAATCCATCAAACAACGATTTTAAATTGGGTACAAGTGTAAAAATTAACAAACTTAAATTGACTGGCAGCCTGAAAATGACTTGAGTATATACAGCTCGGAGTGTAAGCGGAAACAGTAATTAGTGGCTCTTAAACGAAGGGTAATTGGAAAAAGTTTATCTCTGGTACTTGTAAAGTGTCTTACACTGTATTGTCAGTGTCTTGTAAAGTGTCTTTCTTACTGGTGGTAGGGCCTCTTGTGACTCCGCGCGGGTAGGTACCACCGCCCTGCCTATTTCTGCCGTGAAGCAGTAATGCGTTTCGGTATGAAGGGGAGGGCAGCCGTTGTAACCATACTTGAGACCTTAGAACTTATATCTCAAGGTGGGTGGCGCATTTACGTTGTAGATGTCTATGGGCTCCAGTAACCACTTAACACCAGGTGGGCTGTGAGCTCGTCCACCCATCTAAGCAATAAATATAAAAAAAAGATAGTCTAATCGTCGTCCGTGTTCTGATAATTTTAAGACTTGATGTAAGTAATAGCCCTACTAGGAATCAGTATATCAGAGGAAGTGTGAAAGTAGCCAGCTGATTGACAGATTAAAGAGCGGATGGTTGACGTGGTATGGACATGTGATGCGTAGAGAGAAGATGTATGTGACTAAGATATGTATGGAAATGGTAGTGCAAGGTTTGATTTGATTTTGATTTGATTTGATTTGATTTGTGTGAATGACGATATGAGACAAGAGAGGAGTGAGTGTTGAGATGACGGTAGATAGAAGAGAATGGAATACAAAAATTTGCTGTGCCAACCCTACTTAGAGGGATAAGGTGGAGACAAATACGTAATAGCCTTACTCTGACCGGGTTTTGACCCCGGGCGTAGGGTGAAAGAGTGCAGGAGAGTCGTTTGGTGGGTAGGATCCTAAATTCCATCCCTTGGGCCCGCGGTCTGCTCCCAACATCTGCAGACTGTCTAGTCCCAAATACCCCGCACGTCCCTTAGACCCTGGGATCAGGAGGTACGGTCCCCGACCCATAAAAACGTAACTGCTCAGTTGTCTTGTCATAAACAGCCGATTAGTCAGTGGAAGCTTCACGATTGCCGTTTAAAGTTTTGTTTTTAATATCAAATTCACCATTGAACCATTGAATTTAATATTGTGTAATGAACATCAGAGGCACAAATAGAAGCGAAGAGCGAGACGAATCGATCGTTCGTTGCCATCACGATTGCGATACGGGGATCACAGACGTTAAGTCGATAAAAAAATTATCGACTTATGTGCAACCCTATTTAGTTTTTTTTTATTGCATAGATGGGTGGACGAACTCACAGCCCACCGGTGTAAAGTGGTTACTGGAGCCGATAGACATCTACAACGCAAATGCTGCCTTGAGATATAAGTTCTAAGATCTCAAGTATAGTCACAACGGCTGCCCCACCCTTCAAACCGAAACGCATTACTTACTGCTTCACGGCAGAAATAGGCAAGGGGGTGGTACTTACCCGCGCGGACTCATAAGAGGTCCTACCACCAGTAATTACGCAAATTATAATTTTGCGGGTGTAATTATTTTTTTTAGATGTTCTAATATTGAAGACTTTAAAAATCAAAGCAGTTTTTAAACTAAACTCATTGTATTAGCTTTTATACGCGGCTTTTGTATCTTGAGACAAAGTCCCAAATGTCTTTCTGATCTTTCGAACCGCGTGTATGATTGCTTTCTGGAACTTAATTAATAATTACTGGTGGTAGGACCTCTTGAGTCCGCGCGGGTAGGTACCACCACCCTGCCTATTTCTGCCGTGAAGCTGTAACGCGTTTCGGTTTGAAGGGTGGAGCAGCCGTTATACTGAGACCTTAGAACATATATCTCAAGGTGTGTGGCGCATTTCCGTTGTAGATGTCAATGGGCTCCGGTAACCAGTTAACACCAGGCGGGCTGTGAGCTCGTCCACCCACCTAAGCAATAAATAAAAAATTAATCCGTATCTTCAGATTGGTCTTTTCCAGAGTCTACTAGAGATCCCGGCGTCTTAGTAACAGATATCGATTTAATT